ATGGACTTGAATCAATGGCCTGTCATGTGGTTTGGTAATATCGGGACTGTGCCTTGTTACTTGTTGACCTTGGGTTTATTGGCCTCAGCAGCCAGCACTGCCTAAGTAAAGAAAAGCCTCCAGTTTCTGTGGGCTGGGAGCAAGAGGCAGAGCTGAAGCCCAAGATCAAGGGGCTTTCACCCAGCCCCTAGAGCCTGGCACTTTGAACTTGGACTTCTAGTCTCCCAAACTGTAGGAGAACAAACTCTTGGTTGTTCAAGCATCCCATTTGTGGTAAGTCTGTTAGCACAGCACTAGGTAAGCCCGCCCCACCCAGGCCCACCTCTGTACCTACTTTTTGGCTCCCTCCCTGCTCTGCGATCGTCTGAGTCTTGAGTTATCGCAGCTCCCTGCACTTTCCTTCCTTAGGTCTAGCTCATGGCCAGCTCACCTTGCTCCACTCCGCATTTGTCTACCTGTGTCTCTGTCTTACTGGGGATTCTGTGAAGTGCTGTCCTGTGCTCCTCACCCCTGCATTGTATCAAAATGGCCACCCCATGCCAGGCCACCAGGTGCCCAATGGGGCACCTCTGCTTTGTATCTCTCCTTACTCACTACTTCATTCAGTTTTTTCCTTTCAATGTGGTGTTTAACCTAATTTTTCATCCTTTCATTTGATGCTTAGGGTTCTAGGATTATCAGGAACCACAGAGAGACTGCACTTGCCCAGCAGTGCACTGGCACCAGCACTGGTGACCAGAGACCAGAGGAGGGTGCTCTTCCACCCCTCCCCATCTGGCAGCCATTGATGCCCACTCTGCTGCTCCTCCCTCAACTGTCTCCTCTGTCCGGCGGCCCCCAACTGCCCTGATCCCCCAATGACCAGCAACATGCCCACTGCTTCCACGGTCAGTGGTGCCCTTTCTCATGGACTGTAAGCAACATGTCCACTGCCTCTATGGCCAGTGGCACGGGCTCTCATGGACTGTGTACCACATCCTGCCACCTCCACGACTGGGGGCATGTGCTCACCGTTGCAGCATTTCCCCAATGGCAGGGGCATGTGCTCCCTCAGATCAGGCACCATGTGCCCATAACTCTCATGGCTGGTGGTGCATGCTTGTGTCTGTTACTGCCCCTCACTCCCAACCCAGTCAAGTGGTGGCAGGCTGCCTGGACACGGCACGGGCCACGTTCCACGTTCCTCCTGCCCGCTGACTCAGCTGTGATGCTGTAGGCCACTCCACCCTTCCTGCTTGTCACCCCAGCTGAGCTCCACCTCCCCTTCCCCCTGCCCAGGTAAAGGCAGCAGCAGCGTGACTACACATATGCCCATTTGCTGCTCCCTTCACTCCCTCTCCGTAGGCAAGAGGTGGAGGTGGCACAACTGTGTGTGTAACTGCCCACCACTTTTCCCCAACCTCCCTGACCAGTCAGGTGTGGCTACCATGCACACATGTGCTGACCTGTGCCCTGAGCCCCACACAGCCTAGCAAAAGGCTGTGACAGTGTGACCTCACAGTGTGACCTGCTTCCCTTCCCCTTCCCTGCTTGCCTTAATCAATGTTCACGCTGCCCCCTCCATCCCACCTGACAAGGGTGACAAGCATACAACTGCACACATGCCAATCCATCACTCATATCACCTCACACCATGTTGGACGTGGCAGCAGAGAGACTGTGCACACACACGCCCGCCACTCACTCCCTCTACCTAGCAGGAGGTGGTGACTGCATCCCCACCAACAAGTCACACCCACCACACCTGCTGCCCAGCTCACTAAATAGGTGCCACCACACACTCCTGCACCACTGGATCAATGACAGACAATTGTCAACATCTGGCCAGCCCACCTTTAGCTGCTCCACACAACCAGTGACTAGAGACCCGCACCCATACCCCTCCTCCACTATCCCACACGCCCAGAGACAGGTGATGCGCATCTCAGTGCTGCCAGATTAGCAACCAGTATTACCACCCCACCCTGTCCACCTGGATATATCAAAACAAAACAAAAAATCAGGGTGAAGCAAACCAACATACAATCAAGAAGCAAATATAATAACACCCACAATGGCTCAGAGACGCAGACACTTCAAGTCACACAAAGACACATGACAAGCTGGCTTGAGCAAGTGACCAAAATACAGGGCTAGGAAACCTTCCTGAGGAAGAAATGACAATGAAACTACCTGGTAAGGAAGTCAAAACAATTATATTTAGTGTCCTTAAGCAGATTGAGAAAGAAATCAAGGAAAACAAAGACAAATCCAAGGAAATCATAGACCAAAATCAAGGAAAACAGAAAACTCTAGAAGAGTTCAGGAAAGCAATACAAGAAAAAATTGACAAAATAAGCAGACACTTAGACACCATACAAAAACAGCAAATAGAGGTCCAGAAGACAAACACTAAAATTTTAGAAATAGGTACCACATTGGGAGGACAAAGGAGCAGAACTGAATCAATGGAAGACAGAATCAGTGAAATAGAGGACAGATTCTTTGATATCAATCTGTTAGAGGAACAATCAGAAAAAGGAATGAAGAAAAATGGAGAAATCCTAAGAGTTCTGTGAGATACCATTAAAAGGAATAAATTTGTGTGATCAGAATTCCAGAATAGGAAGAGATTTTAGAAAAGCACAGAGAAAATTGTTGAAGATTTGTTGGCAGAAAAACTTCCCTAATATCATGAAAGACGAAATGCTATCCATCCAAGACGTTCAATGAACCCCAGATAGGATAGACCCCAAAAGAAAATCACCAAGACATGTCATAATCAAACTTTCTAAAACCAAAGACAAAGAAAGAATCCTGAAAACAGCTTAGGATATTGGAATGTTACCTACAAAGGGAAACCAGTAAGACTAAGCTCTCATTTCTCAGCAGAAATCAGGCAGGCAAGAAGGCACTGGGATGACATATACAAAATCCTAAATGAAAAAACTGCCAACACCAAGAAGTATACTGTCCCTCAAATATGACAGCAAAATTAGGTACCTTCCAGATAAACAGAAATTAAGGGAATTTGTATAAACCAGGATCAATCTTATAAGAAATGATGAAGGGAGTCCTTCAAAAAGAGAACCAACAATGTCAGACAACAGCCTGAGATTAAGACACACAATCACATCACCTGGAAACTAACCCAGATACAGAAATTTCAAAGATAAAACAAAGTTACAAGACTGAAAATAGGGAGAGATGCCAATCTGTAAACAACAAGTACAAAGTGAAAAGATGGAATTAATGGTGTAGTTATAGAACTTCCAGATGGAGAGGAAGTCAAGATGGTATCAAGACAGAACAGGCTGTTTTAAACTTAGGAAGATAAAAATAGATTTCAGGGTAATCACAAAGAAAATCAGCAAAACTTCCCACCAAAATAATAAAGAAACTCATTAGCAACAAAGGAAATTGAAAGAAAACCCATAAACAAATGAACTGAGCACAGAAAAGTATATGGAACAAGGAAATCATCAACATGACCAAAAAAGAAAAAAGCACAACAAAATGACAGCAGTAAATTCCTGCCTATTGATAATTACACTGAATGTAAATGCATTAAATAGCAAAGAAATGGAAACAACCTAAGTGCCTATCAACAGATAAACTATGGGATACACACACACAATGGAATACTATGCAGTGTTAAAGAATCATGATGAATCTGTGAAAACACTTCATAACATGGATGAACCCAGAGGACATTATGCTGAGTGAGATAAGTCAAAATCAAAAGAATAAATATTTTAAGAGACCAGTATTAAAAAAAGTCAAGAAAAGGTTTATACACAGAAAGAAACATTATTTGATGGTTATTAGGGATGGCTGGGGAAGGGAAGGAAAAGCACTAACTAGAGAGTAGACACCTATCAACCTGGGTGAAGGGAAAGGCAATCTACAAAAGGGGAAGGTCGCACAAAATGACCAAGGCAAAGGAAGACACTGGGAGAAACACAAGAGTTAAAGCAACAAAGGTAAATACTATTATGTACACAATCCTGCAGTAACAGTATCAACAAACAATAGTTTATGAGTGGACAGGTAGCTATGCAAGCTGAACAGGTGTGGGGTGGCCTATGGGAGTACACCCAAGAGTATAGATAGATTTGGGAGAGGATATTTCTATATGTGTAGTTGTATGTGCTGCAAACAGATCTATGTACACAGGTACAGCATACAGGGGGTAAAGTTATGAAAACTTCTTAGCCATAACCAAACAGCCTGGAGGGACTGAGACACCGAGAATGGAACCATAGTCTCAGGGGACTTCTAGGTCAATTGCCATAACATACTCAACAAAGACAATGTTTAACACCCTCCTTTGGTGGGTAGCGACTAGGGTTTTAAAAGCTTAGGAGCAGCCATCTAAGATGCAACTATTGGTCTCTTCCTATTAGGAGCAAAGAAAAGTGAAGAAAATCAAAGACTCAAGGAAGGAATTAGTCCAAAGGCCCAAGGGACCACATGAACCCCAGCCTCCATTAGCCTGAGACCAGAACTAGAAGGTGCCCGCTACTGGTACCGACCACTCAGATTGGGATGACAATACAAAGTCCTGGACAGAATGGGAGAACAACATAGAATAAATTCAAAATAATAAAAAAAGCAGGCTTACTGGTCTGATAGAGACTGGTGGGACCCCTGAGACTATGGCCCTTAGACACCTGTCAAACCTGGAACTGAATGCACCCCCGGGGATCACCTTTCAGCCAAGACATACATACTAAGGAAACAAACAACACCCGTGAGAACATACTCCTCAGAACAATCAACTTTAGGAGACCGGAAGGGTAGCATCTGCCTAAAAACAAAGCTCAGAGGGCAGGAAGGGACGGGAAAGAAGGCTGAATGGATAAGGGAAACCAGGGAGGAGGAGGAGTGCTGTCATACTGTGGGGACTGCACCCAACGTCACAAAACAAAACGTGTATAAATCCTTGAACGAGAAACTAATTTGCTCTGTAAACTTTCACCCAAATGAAAATAAAATGTTGCTGAAAAAGAAAAAGTTACCTTTTTTTGCTTTCTTCTGCAGTTTCAGTGTGTCTGAGGACTTCTTTTTTATCTCTTGGCGTGCTTTCTTATATTCTAAGAGAAAGCAGAATATTGAACAATTTGATAGCTTTGCTTAACAGAAAATATTTTAGGAGCAAGCATGACTATCATCACAGAAAGCACACACTATGATGGGGCATAAGCAGCTTTTGTCATGATGACATTTTATAAGAAAGGGGCTTTAAATTGAAATGAAAAGCCACAAATTCATGACAGTCTCTTCCTATAATAATCACTAATACCAGTCTTTCTGAAAGACATCATTTGGGAATATTTGAATAAAAATTATTCATTTGTCAATGTATTTTTATTCAAATTTTCATTCAATTGTCAATGACAATTGGCAGCTGTCAGTTCAAGTACCACGAAAGATTTTCAGTATCTCCTTTCCCAAGGCCTACCTCCATAGAAATTCACTTAAAAAGAATCCCATGTAGGGAAGAAGTTGGCTAGACACCACAATTACTCAGAGTGTTGGTGCCATTTCCTTAGAAGCTCCTTCTCATACCATCAAGGTCCTCAACAGTTCCCTAAACTAGTCACAAAGACTGCCTCACCTGCCCAAGGCAGCATGCAAAGAGAATGGCCAGGTCTGGGCAGGTGACACAAGGTTAGCTTGTACCATTCAAAGTCTGGTTTTCAAAATGAGCTGAAATGCCATAGGTAGGAATCTGGCATCTAAGCTTTCTATTACAATCGCTTTTCATTCAGCTGATCACAGTTTGTGCCCCTAACAGATCAGGATGCTCTGAGATGTTTCAAAGCCCCAAAACAGCACCAAGTTTTGCAATGGTGACCTTTGACAACACTGAATACCTCCAGGAGACGCAGGACAAGGCAAGCCCTTAGCTGTTTGGGGTGTTAGCCACAAACCCCTAGGAGGGCCCAGGCAGCAGCCGGTCGAGTCCTCTGCTCTTCCCAGAGTTCTGCTCTGGGTCAGACGTCTGCCCTGTACCTTTTGCATGGTCTTTATCCAGCTGGTTTGCCACTTTCTTCCATTCTTCCATCTGTTCTTGAAGTGGGTTTATAAGGCAGTCAATTAGAGCGCTTTAACCAAAGAGAGGAAGAAAAGGAGAAATGAGAGCTCACAGATACATTCTGTTGTCAGGATTTACACTTGGTTGTCAGAACATACCTAAATCACAATTACCTGAAGCTAGAAAATGCAGAATAATCTCCCATCTGAATGTGGGCTGGATGCAAAGTTCCTATCTAACTCTCCCACCTTCCAACTTTGGAACAGCTTTGTCCTCAGAAGGATGTTCAATGACTACCAAGAAGCTGTAAATGGGAGCGGTTGGAGCAAACCCACTTCTCCTTTCCTGTTTAGAGTCCAGTCCCCATGTAAACAAGCAAAGTTACAGATCAGTGGGTCACTTGCTGGCTGCATAATAGGGACCCACTTGGAGAACTTGACAAAAGCAAAGATGCCTGGGCAGCACCCCATACATATACCAGGAACCTTGAGAGGGGGGTCCCAGCATGACTGTATTTTAAAAACACTGCCCCTACCCCAAAAAATGACCCACAGGATACTGACATGCACCTATGATTGTAAGCAGGGCTTTGAACCAGTTTGAATCAGTTCAGTCATGGCTGATGACATGAAATTGAAACAGACTGGAATTTTCAAAATTTGGGGAAGCGGAACACTAACTGTAATGGGAAAAATTGTGGGTCAAAGCCCTGGAACGGGAGACTGGGAAGAAGTGTAGTGAGCCCCTTCAAGTGCCTAATGCAGGAAATGGGATTACTGCCAGGACTGTGGAGAGTGACCCACATCCAAAGAGGTAGTCAGCTGCCAACTTTGAGCAGGGCATTGCTACTTCAGACCCTGCTGCTCAGGAGATTTGGTTGCTATGCAACGTGCACGCTGCCCTTGTTTTCTAAAAGCAAGATTAACTTTCTAGTAAGGCAATGACCTGTAATTTTTTTCCCTTCAGTTATGGTTCTAGTTCACCTGCATTTTACAAATCCAGGTCCATTCTGGTTTTGCTCCATCAGCCATGACTAAACAGGGAAGAACAGGTCAGAAGCCCTGATTATAAAGCCATGGATACAGACTGACTGCGGAGAGCCCGGGGAAAGAGGAGTGAAGAGATAGTTTTCAAGCGTGAGCTTCTGAGTCTTTGAGGGTGAAGGTACCCTTGGGGCATCCCTTTATCTGGTGCAGTCTCCCAGAGAGACCATATTTAGGCAAGTGGAAAGGAGGCTCCTCCCAACAGGAATCGTGCAAATCATGGAACTATGGTTTTTCACCTGGGCGATGGAAGAAAAATTGGCCCATTCCTACCTCAGAAAAAAATTAGAAAATATCTATAAATAGTTCTCATTTCACTGACGAGAGCTCCTAAAAAGTCACCCTCAGACCCTGTCATGGCCCCGAATAAACCAGCTTCTTTCAAGCCGTCTCCGACTCATGGCAACCTCAAGCAGTCAGAGTAGAACTGTGCTTCAGAGGCTCTGCAATGGCTGATTTTCTGGAAGATCACCAGGACTTTCTTCTGAGGCACCTCTGGGTAAATTCAAACAACCAGCTTCTTGGTTAGCAGCCAAATGTGTTAACAGTTTGCACCTGGATCTCCTGACAGTCACATCCATCCCAGGTCTTGGCATGACTTCCCTGCTTTCTTATTAGGGCCTTCCTTTCCCGCCAACCACCTTCTCTCATCCATCAACATATTCACTCCCTCACTTGTTTCAGGTCTTCGCCCAAATGTTTCTCCTCCCTGACCACCCCATGTCACACCACTGCCACCCAGCCTATCTCCCTGTTTTTCTCTCCACATCACTCATCTCTGCCTGACCAAACCAAATCCACTGGCATCGAGTTGATTCTGACTCCTAGTAACCCCCACTGGGTTTCCAAGAAGCTCTGGTGGCATAGTGTCTATGGCATTTGATTGCTAACCAGAAGGCTGGTAGTTCAAAGCCACCAGCCACTCCTCAGAAGGAAGATTGGGCTATCTACTTTTGTCATAATACCATTTCAGAAACCCAAGGAGGGGTTGCTATGAGTTGGATCTGATGTGATGGCAGTGAGTTTGGTTTTTTTGGTTTTTGGTTTCCAAAGCTCTAAATCTTTAAGGAAGTAGATTGCTTCATATGCCGCCCATGGAGCAGCTGGTGGATTTGAACCGCCAACCTTCTGGTTAGCAGCCAAATACCTTACCCCCTATGCCACCAGAGGCTGACATTATTGCAGGGTTATTTAAGGTATACAGCATAAGCCCTGTGAGAGCAGGTACATGACTCCTATCCACTGCTATACTGCTATATTTCATATACCTAAAACAGTGTCTGACACAAAGATACTCAGTTAACAGAGGTTGGTGAACTGGGGGTTCTCTCATCATAAAAGCAGGGTGAGGCACCACAGGGCTGGCATGAAAATAAACAAGGTGACGTGATCTGAGGAAGCAGCTTCTAAGCTGTAGAGCCCCGCAGACGTGAGCGAGAAGGAAGGGAGCCCACAGCCCACCTCGCGCTGCTCAGGTGTTTTTGGCTCTTTCACTTTGTGAACTTATCTCATAATGCTTCAGCTAGGCATCACTACTCCCGTTTCACAGGGTCTGAGCCCTCAGCCTGAGAGTGCTGCTGTTGGGTGGAATTGGTTTTGATTTATAGGGACCCGAGTGACAGAGCGGAACTGCCCCATGGGGGTTTCTAGGCTGTAATCCTTACAAGAGATGGCCACGTCTTTTTCCCACAGAGACGCTAGGTGGGTTCTAACTGCCCATCTTGGGGTTAGCAGCTGAGCACGTCACTGTCCGAGTCACTGCCAGCTCCACCCATTCTGGATGCACGGAAGCCAGACAAGAGCCGGTCTGGGAGCTGCTCCGACCCACTGTGGGTCTGGAGGAAACACCGAGGAGGCGGCCGGGGCAGACTGGCCCGTCTCCCCCTCCTGTCCTGCAGCACCTCCTCTTAGGAGGGTCCCCAGGGTGCTGGGGGTCGGGGGCGTTAGCAGGAGCAGCAGCTCACCTCCTAACCCAGAGGGAGGGTGAGAAAGACACATTCAGGAGCCGGACGCGATCCTGCAGGGAATGTAGGGCCCCAGGGCAGGGACTCAGGCCACCTGTTCTCCCTGTGTCCCCAGGGCCGAGACTAGCGTCTGGGCTGTAGCAATAGCCAATACATCCCTGTTCCATGACTGCGTAGAGCTGAGGAAGAAGAGGGGCAGGAGGCCGAAGTGCTGCAGGAAACCGCTTCTGCTGAGTTACGCTACACGCCATTGCTCCTCTACCTATGACCAGCAAGGCGGCCATCCGCCCCCCAACGCCCCTCACCTGGAAAACTGCCTCAGCTTGGCTTCGATGCTTCTATGCCTCATGCACATCCTGGTGAGGGCGGAGCCAATCTCCCTGGTGCCACCTGAAAAAGCAAGAGAGGCGAGGCTGAGGGCTGAGGGCCGAGGGCCGAAGGAAAGCTGAAACGGAACCAGGTCTCTCCAGCCCGAGGCGAAGCCGGTGGCTTTCAACTTCTGACCACGGCCCCCTGGAGAAGACAGGTATTTAACATCAGGACTCAGAGCTCATGTCTCATCTGTGTATTTCCACTTAAATACACACAGACCCACTCATGAATGTTGTTGCTGCTAAGTGCCATCGAGTCGGCCCCAACTCATAGCCACCCCTCCTTAGGTTTCCAAGGCAGTATCACTAGGGAAGTAGATTTCCCCACCTTCCTTCCGAGGATGGATATATACATATAAACACACCCATCTACCTGTGGTGATGGATAGGTATGTCACCAAAATCCAAGGTAACTTCACTCTGGGAGACTCTGACACCTCCTACTCTATCTGACTTTTTATAAATGCAGATCACGATCCAGATATTGATTTGACACCCCACTGATTAGTCCCGAGTTTGATCAAGATGGTATCTGAGTTTAAGGACAAGCTGTAGATTTCCCCCTGACTTCTGAAAAGTATTCCTCTTAACATTGTTTAGAACAGCTCCTCAGGCAACATCAGCTAATTATTTCAGTAACACGTGTTCCAGAATTTAAGAAATGCAGAGAAGAGCAAAATGAAGGCGAATGAAAATATGAGAATTATCTTGGAAATGGGTTCGAGTAAACTCGGCAAAAAATGGTCATCAGGAGATGGCTGCGGGACCGGAGGGGTGGTCTGATTTTCCTGAAATTCTTGTCATACTTTCCCTGCCACACACCCTTTTCTGAGGTGGTTTGAGAAATCGCCTCTTCCTTCTCCCCATGGAAACAATGCTTCAGTCAGCAT